TACAACAGTCACCCATTTATGGTACCTCGAGGTTCTAGGTTTTCCATCTGCTTTTAAATGGACTCCACTAGTTTTCAAAATATTGTAATAAGATTCTATATTTGCTATAGTTGTATTTTTTGGTTCCTTCTCACATAATAAAGACCATAGTCCTGGTGTAAATTGGTAGTATTTATTAAGCAACAGTAATTTGCCGTGACTAAAAGTAACAGGATGTTTTCCTATTTTATATGAATCACTATCTTTATCATAATACATACCATAAGATTTATCATAAAGTGTTGATTTAGGACGGTTATTTAAAAAATTTTCATATGATGAATTTAATTCATCATCATTATCTTCTTCACTAATGCACGGGGTTTCTGATTTATTTTCTAGTTCAGTTGACCGTGTGTTACATATTACATTTTGTTTCACATGTGTACTCAATGGTTCAATTATCGGCTTAAATGCCTCACGGAAATAGTTTTCAGAATCTATAACACCACGTTTCATTTCCATTATTTTTCGTTGTATATTTTGTTTTGATGTTATTAAATTTTCCAACAAGACTTTTTCTTGGTTCATTGTAAATAATAAATGCAATATACCTGTATCGTATGACTACTGATTACACTATGCAGATAATAACTGTGTGACGGTATATTTATATAAGCACATAAAATTATTTTATTTTAATGAATGTATGAAAACCCCATCTATACCTTCCTTCATTCATTTCTCGAGTTTTATCGATAACCATAAACCCATAATAGCTATGATTCCAGCATAAATGAGAAATTTTCCGAAATTCTGAGAAATCCATATCTGCAGACGAATGATCGTTGAATATATGTCGTAAATTTGTATCATCTTGTTTCAGTATTATTAAAAAGTTTGCGTTATCTCTTACAAGCTGTTTTGATATTTTAGAATATGTCTGTGCTAAATAAAATACGGAGCTGGCACCTGAATGCCTACCAATGCTAAAGTATTCTCTGATTACAGATTGTGGGCCGCATATCACATCATCAAAAATTATAATAGAATTTTTCTTCGTTAAGTTTGGTTTTATAACCTTATCAGCGCTTGTAAATATGAAAAAATTAGCACCTTTTATATCATCTATTATTTTTTTCAATAAAACATATTTTTCCTGATTAGAGGTTTTCGAGTATAAATAAATATTTTCAAATCTTAACCCGTTTGCATGTGTGATCAGATTATACATTATATTTGTTTTTCCTGAGCCACTGGGACCAACTAGTATAGCACGTATAGTATCGGGTAATAACGAACCATGTCGTGAAGGTTTTTTTACCACCTGAACATCTACATTTGTAACATCCAATTTATCTTTCTGTTCTATCAAATCCATATTATTTTCTTATAAATACTCTAGAATTTTCCAATTTATAGTCAGTTATAGATGGCGGGTTCAACTCGTAAGTACAATTCAAACAAGACTGGTAAAGGATTTGTAAACTCCCTTATAAATAGTCTCCCGTTCGAAGCCCATGTTTCAGGATATCAGTATTGTGGTCCTGGCACGAAATTAAAAAAGAGACTAGATCGTGGTGATAAAGGAATAAACCCATTGGATGCTGCTTGTCGTGATCACGATATTGTGTATGCAACGAGTAAGAATTTAGACGATAGACATAAAGCTGATAAAGTGTTAGAAAATCGTGCTTGGGAAAGATTTAAAGCAAAAGATACACCTAGAAAAGAGAAATTAGTTGCGTACGCAGTAACAAACGCAATGAAAGCTAAAAGAAAAATAGGTATGGGTTGTAAACGGAAAAGTGCTATAAAAACAAATGGTATACTAGCAGCGAAGAAAAAAGAATCTTAAAGAAAAAGAATGGTGGTAAAAGACTAATTTTAGCACCGAGACAGTCAGGAGGTGTAATTCCCTTAATACCTATATTTGCGGGATTGTCAGCACTTGGTAGTTTGATGTCTGGAGGTGCTAGTGTGTATAATGCGGTTCAAAATTCAAAAAGAAAAAAAGGTAGCGGTTTGAAATCAAACAAGAATAGGTTAAGAAAAAAAAAAACTGATGATCACGCTACCTGACAGACCGCTTTCGTCTCAAGATATTATAAAATATACTGGAAAGTTGAAAATCAATCATTTCCGTGGAGTCTTTTCACGTGATAACTTACCTAAAAAACCGCACGCTATTGAATGTGGTATATTAAACTTGGATATATCTTCAGGCGATGGAAGCCATTGGGTAGCGTTTTATAAAAATAAGGACAAAGTTGTATATTTTGATAGCTTTGGTGATTTACCCCCACCAATTGAATTACAACATTATTTCAGACAGTTCAAAATAGTATATAACTATTCCAACTATCAAGACTTCAATACATTTAACTGTGGTCATTTATGTCTTGAATTTTTACAATGCATGAATCTATTACATTAAGTTTGACTGGAAATTCAACTGTATTATCTGTAAATTATTTTCCACCTATAAACCTTTACGATGACTCAGAAATAGCTTTGTTATGTTTACAGTCATTTAATTCATTCCCAAATATTAATGAAAATAATAATAAATTTTCTATACAAGTAGTTGATAATGAAAACAATAATAATCCTATGATATGTTTTATTACATTGGAAGAGGGTTGTTATGAAATTGAAGATATTAAGGATCGAGTTAAGAAGCAAATAGTTGCCTATAATAGTAAAAACTTAACCAATTTAACATTCGACATTACGGTTGATCCTGATGATTTCAGATCGTATATAAAATGTAATGGGATACTACACTTTGAATATCCATTTAGTATAGCACCTGTATTCGGTTTTGAAAAACGAGTATATAATCCATACAACATTCTTCGATCGGAAAAAGCTGTAAATTTAAACACAATTAATTCTATAAAAGTAATGTGTAATATAGCTCAAGGATCATTCAGCAACCATCTTCAGAGTCATTCGATTTATGAGTTTTTCCCGAGTGGAAAGACAGGGTCGAAAGTAATTCAGGCACCGCCAAATTTAATATATTACAAATTGAATAAAACAAATATTGATTCGATAACCGTTCAGTTAGTTGATCAAGATCATAATCCGATTGATAATTTTGGTGAGGCATTGACAATCGTGTTACATATTAAACGTTACGGGTCTTGAGATGGGGTTGAAATTCAATATAAACCCGCTACTTCGGATCAGCACAACTAGTCATAAGACTAAAGTGTTACCAGCAACATCAAATAAGATAAAAAAATTAACGGTAAAAAATAAAAAAATTTTACAAGCTCTGGGTTATCAATTAAAGCAGAATGCCTGAGAGTGATATTTTAGATATAACTTCACAGTACGAAACGGATTCTAAAATTACGAAAATTGAATATCATTCATACACACCGTATACTACGTCATTTAATAATAATGATGAAATACGTATATCAATCCAGCAAACGGATGTCTACCCATATCTACACGAAAGCTTTATTTTTTTGGAAGGAACAATTACTGATGCTACCAAAGTGAAACTATCTAATAACGGTTACTCTTACCTCTTCGAACAAATACGATTGGAAATCAATGGGATAGAAGTAGATAGCACACGTGTTCTTGGAATCACCAGCTCGTTGAAAGGTTACTTATCCGGTACGCCAGATAACTACAATTGTTATGAAAATGCTGGCTGGAATTTTAAAAACGCAACGCAATCGGAAAATGAAAAAGGTGAATTTAGTGCTTGCATACCATTGAAATATTGGTTAGGATTGTTTGAAGACTATAAAAGAATATTAGTGAATTCTAGATTGGAATTAATATTAACCCGAAGTCATAGTGATTTAAATGCTTTACAAGTTAAAAGTGGTGCAACTGCTACTGAAGGTAAAATCACCTTAAATAAAATAGTCTGGAAGGTCCCACATATAACGGTCGACGATGAAGAAAGGTTGAAATTATTGAAACTTATAGAAAAAGAAAAAAGTCTATTTATCCCTTTTAGATCTTTTGAAACTTTTGAATATCCTGAACTCGGAACCACTAAAAAAGTTGTATGGAATTTGAAAACTGCTTCAAAATTAGAAAAACCACGATTTATCATAATTGGATTACAAAAAGGACGCAAAAATTTGCTAACAAAAGATTGTAGTATATTTGATCATTGTAATTTAACAAACGTTAAAGTATTTCTGAACTCTATAGCTTATCCATACGATAATTTGAATTTAGATTTTACTAAAAATAACTTCACCTTATTATATAATATGTATACATCGTTTCAAGAATCGTACTATGAAAAAAGTATTCGCAACCCGATATTGAGTCCTTCTACTTTTCTGACAAACGCTCCAATTATAGTTATCGATACTTCGAAACAAAACGATTCAGCCACAGCCTCAGCAGTGGATGTTCAATTGGAAATTGAAGCTTCAGAATCGCTCACAGGTGTGACTGCTTACTGTTTCTTAATTCATGATCGTATTGTAGAATATGTACCTTTTACTAGAGAAGTAAGAAAACTTGTGTAAATATTATTAAGAATTTATTTGTAACAATAAAAAAACTATGATTTAATAATTTGTGTTTTTTCTTGAAATAATTATTTTAGTTTTAAAAAATGGTAAATGTTAAATATTTTTTGTGTGAGACGAAATTTGGTAGTCAATCAGTGTGAAATTGTGTTACACGGTAAATCTGAGTGCTCCAAGGGGACATTCCCCCCTTGAACTTTTTTTTTTTCCCTGGAAAAGCTGGCTGTGAACATACAAATATATACTACTGACAACCTAAATAACACATACATCATATGCCTCAACGAAAACACTACAAACATCAGTAATGCTCTAAAAATAATAAAGCAATTAGAACAAACAGCTACATCACTAAATCTAAGAAAAAAAACTTACCTGCGAGCTTTATTTTTATCTGAAATATTTATTTGCCTTTCATCACAGCTCTGGCATTTACCAAATTTAAAACCCTCACATCTACTAGAAAAAATCATTGACATAACAGCAGTATCAGCTCATTTCATCATGACAGCCGGACTTTTACATGACCCAATATTCATGATCATGACAGGACATTTAGGGAAAAATCGTAATAAACTAAAGAAAATACCTAAACCTTCACAAACTTTCAATTTACAAAATCAAAATCTATACTATGATTTATACTTTAACGCAAACAACTCCAAACAAAACTTTGTATCAAAAAATTATTCTGACAAATTTCTCAAAACATTAACTCTATACTTTAACGATTCTTGCATATTAGACCCACTAACCCCTAAAAAAGACTGGATAAGAAATCTATCACGAGATTTCTACTCACTCAACAATGAACATATTGGCCGCATAATGTCAGCCTACACATTCTATAACTATGGATTTTTCATAATAAGAGCACCAGAAATTACACAATTTCAAAACGCAGCTATACCCAATGAAATGGGCAGATTATATGTAACACATTACAACATCACACCACAAACTTTAACAACAGACATACTACTAAATATGATTAACATAACCAAGGACACCATTCGCAAAACAAAAAACAAAGAATTAAAACTAATATGCAAAAAACTTTTAAATTTTGAAATTACAGGACTAACAAAGTAGAAACAGCAGCAGAAACATACCATCATGAACAAACTAAATATTGTAGCTATTGACTTTGAGTTTACAACAATTGAGAGAACCAGTTTAGTACTCATTTCAGGTGCCATATCAAACATACATAAGCAATCCCCCATCATTAAATTAAAAGGAACACCCTTACTACTTAGAAAAGACTCGAACAATGCCATTTCAATAAATAAAACGGACATAAACCTTGTTATAAGGAGCCTACTAAAAAACTTCAAAAACAAACAACACAAACTTACACCAATTCTCAATGAACTCAATGACAGCTTCTTAACAAAATTTACAAACCTACAGGGCGACTTTATACAGAACTACTTACTACATGGAAACAAAATTCCAATTATAATCACTTGGAATGGCCAAACTGACATGGAAATATTAAGCAGACTCAACATACAACATACCATTTTAAGCATAAGAAGCTATGACCTATGCAACAACGGGCTTTTCTTTCTTCAAATAAGCAACATACTAACCAAACAAATAATAACACAAATAGAACTAGGACAAGTACATAAAAACGGAAGACTACTCGACCTAACAGAAACCCACAACCTAATATGTAAACAATCACACAACAACACATACTCACATGACCCAGTAACAGACATACATTACACAAAATGTATATTTCACTACATAAACAACATAACAGAGATACCAATCAGAAATACAACAAATACAGTACATTAACATCAATCATAATCTTAAACCTATAACAAAACTTAAAAATAACTAAAATTAACTTAATACTAAAATTTTATTTTATTTTTTTTTTTATTCTTTTTCTTCTTTCTTCAGCACGGTAAAATGTTGTACAGACAGGAAACCAACCCTTCAATACAAGAATTCATCACACCTTGCACAGAACTAAGCTTAAATGCTGAACACCCTGAAACAATTTTTACAAACTTAGTAATTAAATCAGACAAACTAAGGAAACTAACTATAATTAATTTCGACATCACCAAGCTAGATGTGTCCAAATGCACAGCATTAAGATCATTAACATGTACGAATAACAACATAACTGAGCTAATTGTAAATAAAAACTTGAAAGCACTTGATTGTGCCAACAATAAAATTACAAAATTCACTCCCCCAGAAGATTTAAATCAATTGATATGTTCTTATAACAAACTAACAACCCTAATTCTAAGCCCTAATATAATAAAAGCCTATTGTGATTACAATGCATTAAAAACTTTATACCTAAATCCTAAAATAAGAATATTAAATTGCAATAACAACCAATTAAGAAACCTTAACTTAAACGAACAATTATTAATACTATTTTGCAAGCGAAATTTACTATCAAAAATACAGCTCAATTCAAACTTAATGGAATTACACTGTGCTCACAACTTAATAGAATCAATAAAAATCAACAACTCGTTGAGAAAGCTGTCATGCAAGGACAATAAAATTATAACCCTTACATTAAATCACTTTTTCCCACATAAAAAAATCCTACTCAAAACAGACTGTGAGTTAATAATTATACCCCAAGCAACACCATTTAAGAATTTTACACCTACCTTAAATGAAGAAGAAACATGTCCCATATGTCTTGAATCAGAAGGACAACTAATAATAACTGACTGTAACCATAAATTTCATCTAAATTGCATTACTCTTATTAGAAATGACAAATGCCCTTGCTGTAGACAACCAATACAACAACTAAGAACAAAACGTTTCGAGCTAGAATAAAACAATCAATTAACCACACAAGAATCAATCTAAACAAATTTATATATACAAACTTCAGACCAACTATCAATAATTTCTTCACATTACCCTATCCAAATAATCAATTCTTCAGATTTATCACATAAACTTCAACAGGCAAACAACAATTAATTATACACCTATAACATAAATACAAAAAACACAACAACAATCATATTTCTATTAAATTCATCTTACCCAAAAATTCCACACAGTCATTTCATCACAGATTGCAACAACAAATAACAAACCTACACTTCATCCTTACATCAACAAAATTTACTTTACAACAACAAAAAATAACACATTTGTATTACAACTAACATATATTTCTTCCAAATTAATAATCAAAAAACACAACAAAATACAAATAATATTAACCATACAGAATAACCTACAACAACAAAAAAAGAAAGTGGCAATATAGCATATGCTCACCACATGTCATTTCGAGAATATTTCAAATAGTATCAAATACTTTAGGAAGCGGGAACCGTTCATAACAACACTATCTGAAGATACCGTGATTACATCATACGCATTACACATCTGTTAACAATTTCAAGAACACCAACATTACAAACTGACCTCAGACACTATACCAGAATGTAGACAGCCACAACGTGAAAAGGCGCGAGTCTCACTAATTATCACAATTTCATTCCATATCCCGTATATCATAATCCATGGGCACAACCAATTAAAGCCAACACACTACATACATACATTGCATACAACCACGAACTAAGACATATATTATCTTAATTCACGCATACAACACAACATTATCTTGACAACTGCACTGGGGCATCCTAATGATCGCCATTACTCACAACAAGAACAAGATTCTTATCATCTAAAAGACGGTACTACAAAGGTACCATATCACATAGTGGAAATATGCAATATGCATACGAGCTAATATTTTTTGAATTAATACAAATTAATTATTTTTTTTTTTATTCATAAACTAATGTAAATATCACAACAATTTAACATAAGTTATAACTTATAGGTATACATATTTAACAAGTTACTATATCTACATAAGAACAAAATCCACAAAATTATAAGAATTTACTAAATTAAGTATTAACATATAAGAATCATATTAATCTGCTGCTCAATAAGCATCATAAATCAACTATAATAAAAAAAAAACACAAAAAACACTAGAATTAAAATAGCTTAATCAATCATTTATTCAATTTATCTATTTAAGAAAAATACTTTATTAACTAAATCATAAATTACTCAACATTCCATAAGTTAATTTTATCCATTATATATTAAGAATTTAAGCACTACATCATAAGTTCATATAAAAAAAAAACACAAAAAACACTAGAATTAAAATAGCTTAATCAATCATTTATTCAATTCATCCATTTAAGAAAAATACTTTATTAACTAAATTATAAATTACTCAACATTCCATAAGTTAATTTTATCCATTATATATTAAGAATTTAAGCACTACATCATAAGTTCATATAAAAAAAAAACACAAAAAACACTAGAATTAAAATAGCTTAATCAATCATTTATTCAATTCATCCATTTAAGAAAAATACTTTATTAACTAAATTATAAATTACTCAACATTCCATAAGTTAATTTTATCCATTATATATTAAGAATTTAAGCACTAATTATATCAATAGATCATAAGTTCATATAAAAAAAAAAAAAAAACACAAAAAACACTAGAATTAAAATAGCTTAATCAATCATTTATTCAATTTATCTATTTAAGAAAAATACTTTATTAACTAAATTATAAATTACTCAACATTCCATAAGTTAATTTTATCCATTAAGAATTTAAGCGTTAATTATATCACTACACCATAAGCTCATAAAAAAAAAAAAAAAACAAAACACAAAAAAACTAGAATTAAAATAACTTAATCAATCATTTATTCGGTTCATTTATTTAAGAAAAATACTTTAATTACATTATCTAACTCCATCATAATAATAAATAGAATACAACAATAAACAAAAAATTAGATACCCTTTTTACTAAAATAAACTAATCAAATATAATAACAGTACTTTAACTCATTCAAACTCTACTAGAAAAAAAAAAAAACTTAGTATTAAGCCACTACACTATAAGCCCATTTCAAAAAAAAAAACAAAAAAAACAACACAAAAATACTATCATTAATATAACTTAATCAACTACATACTTAATCTTACCTAATTAAGAAAAATATTTTAACTATAATCTAATGATAGATACTAATTATCCAACTTTATTATATATATTTAAAATCAAGAAGAAACACAAAAATACTATTATTAATATAACTTAATCAACTACATACTTAATCTTACCTAATTAAGAAAAATATTTTAACTATAATCTAATGATAGATACTAATTATCCAACTTTATTATATATATTTAAAATCAAGAAGAAACACAAAAATACTATTATTAATATAACTTAACCAACTACATACTTAACCTTACCTAATTAAGAAAAATATTTTAACTATAATCCAATGATAGATATTAATCATCCAACTTCATTATATATATCAAAAAAAATAATAAAAAAATAAAAACACAAAAAAACACTATTATTAACTTAATCACTAGGTACATATTTAATCTTACCCAATTTAGAAAAGCACAAAAATAAAAATCCATCAGGACCATACCTAATCTAAAGTATTAATCATATTATTCTACTCATATTTCCATGAGATAATTCTATACAAAAATCATGTATAAGAAATTTAATTATAGACATAATTTTAAATTTATAATCAACCTAACAATATATATATATATATTTAATCTTAAATAACGCAATAAGTTAATCCACACTGCTTATTAGAATTCAACTAAAAAACATTACTTATATTATCATAAATTAACTTCACATATATATAACATGGGGTTCCATAGTAATCCTCAATAAAACTAAGTAAAAACTAGCATTATCATTTATGGAAATTTAGTAACACAAGTGAAATCACACTTATATTAATTAATCTAATTAATCAAGCCTAGCTATTAAGGTAACAATTCACATAGTAAAAGCAACCATCAAGTTGCAATAGGCCATTAAGGCACATTTTTCATTAAACTTATATACCCAAAATAGAATTAGAAGGACTAGCAAGATACAACATATTATTCTATATTATAACAAACACACAACCAAACAATTACAAATTAGAACCAACAAATTACCTAAATTTCAAAATAATACATACATCAGTATTTAAATCATCCATTTATCCCAAAACATATAATTCCATCCATTTACTCAAAAATACAGAATATTATAACAACAATAATAGAAACCATTTCAACAAATGCCCAACATACAAAACAAACATCACCTACCTTCACCCCCGACCTCTGATCGCATACACATTCGAAATATTATGACCACCAGATGGGCTAACAGCAAGACGCAATTTAACAAAACATAAACCCGACACCCAACATCCACCTAACATTATCTCAAAATATTACTCACAAAGTATATCAAAATACTCCCTACTCCAAAAAAATCGATATCCAAATCCATACGAGATAAATGGACCACCGAAAAATAAAAACTGACCCACTTCAGTCTACTGAGACAATCTACGAAATACACAACAAACAAAACCATGGCAGGATACACGAACAAATTCTTCAAGTACTGGTACAACTCCTCCACAATTGAAGACTACCTAACCATACTCACCAATGAAAATCCAACATCACATTTCTTCAGTGTAGACTTTCTTAAAAAATACTGCGAGGAAGGATTTAAAGGTACTGTAAGATGGGTCAAAAAACCCATCCTGGACATGAACTCCATATTGTTTCCCATAAACGTGGGAAATCACTGGATCATTATTGTGGTATACCTTAAAAGCAAAGCGGTGGTTTGCTATGATGGCAAACATAGGAACCACCAACACATATTATCTAAGATCAAGACATTCTTAACAGATTGGGAAAACCATTCGGGTGTCCAGCCTTCGGCTTGGTGGACATTACATGGGACCACACCAACACAATACAACAACGACGACTGTGGGCCATGGATTCTAGCCATAGCCAAGTGCGTGGCACTCGTCGAACCAATCTGTTTTACAGAAAAGGACATACCACAATTAAGATTGCAACAATATCAGAGCATCATGTCCAATACAATGCAACTCACCACACCGACACCCAGGACAACACCATACATTACAATGCAACTCACTACACCGCCACCCAAAACAACACCAATCAATACGACTCAATCCGACACACCGCCTCCCAGGACAATACAATTAAATGAAATCCAATCCACGACAACCGCCACTACAGACGAGGTCACCACTCAAATCCCGCCCACAATCACAGCCATAACACCAGCACCGACGATACCACACCCAACCAATTCCACAGAAAATCACAAAACAAGGAACAAACTCTATGTAAGTAAAAACACCAAAAGACGCAACCGACGTACCTTCTATAAAACAATAAGTAACACACACCCCACCACATAGACTCACACAAAATTTACCATTCATAATTTAACAAAACAAACATGCCAATAAACACAAACATAATAATCTAACACCCATTTCTACAAGACATATCGAAATTCAGAAAATAACAAAAATCATTATCACCCAAATTATTTATATCACATTCTTTACAATACACAACCACTAACACAGCCCTAATCCACATAGCACATAGACCAACGTCAATTAAAATCCAAAGTCTTTTTCTATATAACCAACAACATAAAATATCACAACTATTATCCACATAACTATCCTGTACAATCACAACATAATAACAAATACGAACTATGTATAATCAATAACTCAACAAATTATTTCAACAGATCAAACCATTTTTTTTTTTAGTTTATATAAAAATTCTCCACGAACACAATGTAAAATCACATCACACCCAACTTTTGCATTATATACGTATATAAAACCTTGTCATTTGTATAATTAACCAAACTTTAAAAAAATTAATTGTAATTACACCGTGAGGACACGGTGAAAAAAGAACCTCCGTGCAATTTGTAATATATGAATAATATACTCTATATTTAAATAAACATGTAAAGTGAATATATCAGGTAGGTTCATACTTGGGCGTAAAAACACAAACGCAATTAAATCACATTACGCAACACCAAGAAATATTAGGCAACCAACATTCCTTAACGATTACATAACAATATTTCCAAGACGCTCATACACCGAAAAATATGCCCATATATGGTTATAATGAAACAACAAGATAATAAAACATTACGCAACACACATACATCATTACGTAACCGAAAATTCCATACTATACGAACATCGACGCATGCGCACTAATACAAAAATTAATTGAATGCCAAAAACTGTCGCTAAAACTTTACACAAATTAAAAAGGACATTAAACACACGCAAAAACACAAACGCAATTAAATCACATTACGCAACACCAAGAAATATTAGGCAACCAACATTCCTTAATGATTGCGAAGTAATATTTCCGAGACGTACATATACTAAAAAACATGCCCATATATGGTTATAATGAAACAACAAGATAATAAAACATTACGCAACACACGTACATCATTACGTAACCAAAAATTCCACACTATACGAACACCGACGCATGCGCACAAATACAAAAATTAATTAAATGCCCAAAACTGTCGCTAAAACTTTACACAAATGAAAAAGGACATTAAACAAACTTAAACACACAACCTATTGAAACAAATACTTCATACAAAAATTACAAAAACCCACAATGACATATGATTAAAGTATGTTACTCACTCAAGCATCTAAGCGACAAAATATCACTACAAAAATTACACGAAGGGAAAATAACAAAATAGCAACAATATATCATAACGCAGATCAAAAGACAACACCTCATCAAAATTCGATATAGCACTAACTTACGAAATCATAATACCAAATATTTAATTCATCGACATAATAAGCCTATACAAATTACACCACAGAGACACTTCCGGTGTACAAAACTCAACTCAAATGTGCACATATGCGCACTACACAACATTTGGTAAAACAACCAAATGTCGATACCAAAACTATGCGCAAAAACAACATTAAAACAAGACACGGTATACGAAACAACCTTCTCATACTGATATCGCCAAAAATCAACAACAGTGTGCAAAAATGACATAAAACGTGCGCACATGCGCACCACACCACATTCGGTCAAATAAACAGATGTCACTACCAAAACTATGCGCAAAAACAACATTAAAACAAGACACGGTATACGAAACAACCTTCTCATACTGATATCGCCAAAAATCAACAACAGTGTGCAAAAATGACATAAAACGTGCGCACATGCGCACCACACCACATTCGGTCAAGTAACCAGATGTCACTGCAGAAACTATGCGCGAAAAGAACGATAAGACAACACACAACATACAAAACACCCTACTTATAACAATATAGCCAAAAAGTAACGACAATGTGCAAAAATGACATAAAATGTGCATACATGCGCACCATACGATATTTGGTCAAACAAATTGAAATCACTGATAATATTATGCGCAAAAATAATCATAAGATGACACTCGGTGTAGGGAACACTTTTATCATATAAAATTTACAAAAAAACCAACGACATTATGCGAAAACACGACATGAACACGCGCACATGCGCAATCCACATAACAAAAACGAATAATCTATTGTAACGTTACGTAATAACAATAGAGTAGGGATAAGACAATCGTTTTCGTATATAAACGCCACGCACAAACCACAAATCATCCAGTATTCAGTACAGCGGCACACCAGTAGCAGTACATTCCACGCAACACGGAGGACCACGCTGATGACGACCGCAGGCCAACTCATGCACCATCAACCAACTTCTCTTTTGACACAAAATTAATTTCTTTCTCTACAAAGTTAACTTATTATTGCGTTTGTTTTGAAACCAGGTATGAGCTCATTTTGGGTATATTCACTTTACTATTTTACCATGACAACATTGTTATTTCAATTCTTATAACCCTAACAATCCTTCAATAACGTTAAGCTATGTAGGGAAGATATCCATATACTCGTGTCCAAGTCCTACATCCCTAAAAATATCAGATTTAAGCCAATTGTACTATACTTGAAATGCATTTTAATTCGTAAAAGTATCTACGTAAATTTCAGTTCAATTACTGCTTGTCAATTCAGTGTCTATACTAGACATTGGGTTGCCAAAGTATGTTTGCAGTTTGAGTCGCGAGTACGGAACCGGGCAGACTTGTGCACTGGGCCGAAAGTACTGTATTCGTAAACGTCCAAATCTCAAACATACAGGTAGTTGAAATGGATGTCGTGAAAATATTAAATAACAAATATTTTCACTTCAATTATTGTTCGTCAATTCACTATCTCTGTTAGACATTGGGTTTTCAAAGTATATTTGCAGTTTGAGTCGCGAGTACGGAACCGGGCAGACTTATGCACTGGGCCGAAAGTACTGTACTCGTAAACGTCCAAATCTCAAATATACAGGTAGCTGAAATAGATGTCGTAAAAATATTAAATAATAAATTTCAGTTCAATTTCTGTTTGCCAATTCACTGTCTATACTAGACATTGGATTGCCAAAGTATATTTGCAGTTTGAGTCGCGAGTATGGAACCGGGCAGACTTATGCACTGGGCCGAAAGTACTGTACTCGTTAACGTCCAAATCTCAGATATACAAGAAGTTGAAATGAATGTTGTAAAAAAAATATTGAATGAAAACGAACAATAAAATTCATTCATGAATATTTCTTAAAGTAAACAAACAAATCTATAACAGATATGCATGAGTTCATAGTATCAGCACAATTCAATACAAAAAAAAACTATTCTCATAATATCCTCATCTTCCATCAAAAGATATCTTTACAAACTCCATTACATCATAATCGTAAGAAGCCAACAGTGTGTAATGTAGAAATGTATACTTAATTGCAATAGGATATTGTAGTGTAAATCGTAAAGTATAAATAACGTGCATCGACTCACACCAATTTGACGGCACTCCAATCAACATTCCAAGGAGAGTCTACATATTCTTATTCACAATAAAACGAGGTAAGTGAAAATTCATATACTATATAATTAAGAACAAATTATCATTTCGATATTCAAATAAAAATATTCTGTAGTGAGATAAAATTTACGATATAAGCGCAACACTCTAATCATTCATACCCTTTATAGTTTGCCGCCACTGCTTATTTCCCCGACTTTCCTCCTCTTTCCTAATTTTATTTTACTACACTCGCGATATATATATAATCCTATATAGATATTATAATCCCTGTCTACTGACATTACATTGGATAACAATATATTAGGTAGGTATATCATAATATTATTTCAACTCAACGTGGTCCAACTCTATGACCAATAAATCAAAATCAAAAATATATTTCAAATTAATCAATGTTGTACTGTTTTAATGGTCACTCGTGTATTACTGGTATCCATTCAGTGTATAAGCCATGACGATCCATAAGGTTTTATCGATGCGAGTTTGATATTCTTCGACTTTTTATTGCGGTATTCGTGTCTTGTGGTATATAATAGTAATAACTATAATAATATTGTATTTTTTTTTTATTGTCACTAATAACTAAGAACTTTTATTTTTATTCGTGCGTCGTAACTCGTAATTCATTAAATTGTCTCAATATAAGGAATATAGGTACTTTTATAATATGTATTTTCGCATCGTTAAACCTCTATCATTCCATTGACATATTCTCGAGGTGTGGTTTTTGGTCCACTGTGAGCGCCAGTAGCATTGAAAGAATAATATTTTGATTTAAGAATTGCAAATAGCTATAGGGACTACGAAATATAAAATATAACTATGGCAGTTTAACATATAGATAATATTCTAAATCTCTAGCTAAATTTTATATTTTTTTAATATGTTTAATCAATAGCTGAGTACACATGAAAACTAAATATGCCACTATATAAATCTATTCTCTACAATCATAAATTCATAAAATTTTTTTATTCTGATCATCATTTTATCAGTTTATTAATCATTATTTTAATATTAATAGTTAAAAGTTTGAAAGACTGTTCTCTATCGTTCGATAATAATTTCTAGTTATAGGTAACTTATTGACGCCAGTTAAATTATATTGATAAAAAATTTTTTTTCTAATATGAATAATGATAACGCTCAAATTCATAATTAAAAAAAAATAAACTAGTTTAACGAACTGATTGCTATTATAGCAAGGTACCCAGGTACTTTGAAATTCAACAAGTCAGTGTACAGTGCAAGCGCAGTCTATAAGTTTTTGCAATATCAAAATGGTTAGTAAACTTTTTGACTTGAAATTATCATGAAAGTTTTATGGTTTGTCAGAAACTTTGAAAGACTCGTTCTACATCATCCATTGTATATTATAATAAAGTCGGTACAGTCCTTCACATTTATTTAAATGTATTAGAATACTGCGGCAATAGACGTTTGGCCCGAAGTGAACCGTATTATAATATTCTGTAGTATTATTGTACTGCCGCATAACTATACAGCTGCTGTTCCCCGTTAAATAATATATCATAATAATACATAGTTTGAGAAGAAAAATAATATTATTATCGTGTTTCCGGACATTGTCGACGGTTTCTATATGCATACAAGTGAAGAAAAATTCAAACCGTACAATATAACCAGCTATATAGGTATTAGGTACACTTCCGGCAGCCGTAATAATTTTTTTATTGGCATTTAACGATCCCGATGCCATGGCGGTTTATTATTAGATAAAAAATTATAATCTACTTTTATATAAAAGCGCACAGGTATTCATCATAAAACGTGCCGACTTATCGCCGACGAGCGTATATTAATTATTATTTGCATCGAACAATGCGTGTTTCGTTTATTTATAATAATACAATATATT